AGGAATAGGAAAAGTCTCTACTCGAAGAAGAAAGAATTTCTAGGTCGCATACGCAGCGAATGTTAGCGTGTGATCAGAATAGAAAATAACCCATTGTCACTGTATCTGTAACAAGCATACCAAGGTGCTTATGGGTCAAACGCGGTATCACACTGTATATAGAGAAATACTCATGTGAGGAATGTGGCAGCAGAATATTTTTTAAACTTGGATGTGAGCCATGTGCCGGGGCAAGAGCAAAACAAGGACAATTATGTGAGTATGCTCGATCCAAGCCATGACCATAGGTGATTGATTGATTATGAGGGAGAAAATGGATCTGGATCTGGATCCAATTGAATGATCACGGCCTGCACAAGTGGCAGGACTTCTTCCACAGGCGAATGACTCTCAGTTGACGATGAATTCCAAAATGGGTCATGAGCAAATCAGTGCTGGCCTCACGTAGAAAAAATATAACCAACCGCCATACCCTATTCCAGTTGACTAGAGTAACGAAAAGGGGTTTGTCTACAGACAACTACTCAATTCTGTTGCTATTCACTATCGCCGCATGCGCTGGATGGAAAATTATTCATTGTGATGTCGAAATAATTATGGTGTTTCGGGCCAATCACCCATCGTCGGCACCAGACGTATGTAATCAAGCACGCTCAGGAGGTCATGATGGCTGAATCTTGCCCGAGCCTGCAGCCCAAGGGCCGTAGGCCCGAGGGCTGCAGGCAAGGGCAAGATTCAGCCATCATGACAGGCAGAGCGTGCTTGATTTGATTTCTTACATCGCGAAGCAACATATTAGGGAAGGTCGAAAGGTCGAAAGGTCGAAAGGTCGAAAAATTATTCCCGAAATGACGTCAAACGGTCCGAACATTCCCGAAATGACGTCAAACGGTCCTGAAACTCCCGAAATGACGTCAAACGGTCCTGATGGCCTGATTATGCCCGCGGCGGGAAGATCGCCTATTGGTCATGGCCCCGGCAACGATCGCGTGTCATGTAAGAATAGAGAACTCTGAAAGAATGATTTCAGAATGAACTCGGATGGAGAGGCATGGATAAATTTATAGAAAATAAAAAGGACCAAGGAACTACAAGTTGTTCAATAATATCCACCTCCAGTTACTAAACAATCAGCTCATGCGATAACATTGCACGACACCGACCGATGGTACTGACGTTCTACAACTAACTTGCTATTCCAAGTTGGAAGGCTGTTGGAGTGCGCATCCAAAATGTGCTAAAGCTGTTAGCCAGTTAGTTGTAGAACGTCAGTACCGTTGGTCAGTGTCCTGGCAATTTAGACCGTTGTCATTAGGTTTAGGCCTGTTTAGGAACTCCACTCTAACTAATGCCAAACAACAACAATTTTATCGCATGAACTGGTTGTTTAGTAACTGGTGGTATTAGTGGACATTATAGCGTAATTTGTAGTTCCTTGGTCCTTTTTCTTTTCTATAGATATAATTATGGGTGGTTGTTGTTTGATGATGCCCGAGTCCAACTGAACGTGTCACAAGTCACCTGGTGATTGCGTAGAGCAAGAATTTTGGAGTTGCGACAAACTCAACCAAATCTCCTTTGTGCCTTTTGTGTGCAGTGGTGCTCCACACTATCGTGTCTAATGCTCTGGTGTTATTTGGACTACAGAGGTTGACATCGCCGGTGGATCATGCTATTTAGATTACTTGATGACAATACGTCAGGAGAAGAGGACATTTAATACGTACGAGGAGGCGATCAGCCTGGGCCTGAAGGACAAGACCAAGCGAGCCTGCGGGGACACCATGAATGACAGTAAGGTAGAAGTTCAGGAGGTTGAAGCAGATATATGAGCTGGAGAGCTGATGCTTGTTTGAGCCTACTATTGTGTGTGTGTGTGTGTGTGTGTGTGTGTGTGTGTGTGTGTGTGTGTGTGTGTGTGTGTGTGTGTGTGTGTGTGCATGTGTGTGTGTGTGTGTGTGTGTGTGTGTGCGTGTGTGTCTTGCTCTTGAGCAGGACGGTTTGAATTTTTTGAGCTCTTCCGTATCTGGTCTTCTTTACCGTTTCATAGCTGGGCTTTGCCCAGCGGGGCAGCTCTGGGCCCTCCAGAGTTGTCCTTAGTTCTGCACTAGGCAGGTTCATCGGGGAGTGGGTTCACGGCACAGTCGCCAGGACAAATTATTTTTGATATTGTCACGGCTGTGTCGTCCACTCTCCGCCATTCGCAGTGGGTTGGCGACCCCTCGGATGTGTATCTCTTTAGCTACGACGCGACCCGAGTCATGTGTCGGGGGCAGAAGCGGAGAGACGAAGACGAAGAATATCCGCTTTGCGACGTGGAACGTCCGAACGCTTGTCAATGCTGACGGCTCTGTCGAGACTGCCGCTCGTCGGGGGCGCGTGAGCGAGGATAGAAAGATAAATTTAGTAGTCCGCGAGGCCGAGCGCTTGGGTCTGGAGGCAATTGGACTGCAGGAGACGAAATGGTTCGGCGCTGCGTCGTACTCTGTTGGTGATGCGTTGGTTATATCGTCGGGTCGACCTCTGCCGACTGGGAATTTCACTCGTGGAGAAGGAGTCGCCGTCTTGTTGAGGCGGCGTGCCAGAGCGGCGTTTGAGCGCGGAGGCTCGCAGCAGAGTGCTGTCTCGTCCAGACTTATGACATGTAAGTTGAAGTTTCCTCTGTGTACTGGCACCCAGCGGCAGTGCCCTGCTGAGAGAGCGTCTGTGTGGGTACATCTGGTTGTTTGTTATGCACCCACGTTCCGGGCCAGTCGATCAGTGAAGGACGCATTCTATACAGATTTGCAGCAGACTGTCATGGCTGTTCCTCTCTCAGATCATTTGATCGTCCTTGGGGACTTCAATGCACGTGTGGGTTCTGCTGTTGAGCCTCAGTCTTCTGGTTTGTGGCGGGATGTCCATGGAGGCTTTGGCATTGGTGAGCGCAATGATGCTGGGATGGAGTTGTTGGATTTCTCGTTACGCAATAACCTGACCATCTGCAACACCCATTTCCGGAAGAGGATGATACATCTGGCTACGTGGCGGCACCCGAGATCCCAACGTTGGCATTGTATTGATTATGTACTTGTCCGTGTAAGTCAGATGCAGTATGTTGTGGATACCCATGTGATTCGCGGTGCAGAGTGCAGTACTGACCACAATCTCTTGTGTATGACGTATTGCCTGCCAGGGAGGATTGTGCCCGGCCGAAATCAGAATCAAAAGCGCAGGAACCGGCGGTTTGCGGTTCAGGAGCTGCTGACTGTGCCGGGTATGACTGACGAGAGGCGGGAGTTAGTCGAGTGCACCCGAGCGGAGTATGGCCACTGTTTGTCTGGTGGCTTGGAGAACTTTGATGCTGGCGGACTCATCGAGGAGCAGTGGTCCTGTATTAAGAAGGCTATAACGTCATCAGCTAAGGCGGCAATCGGGCATGAGAGGCGTAGCAGTCCTGACTGGTTTGTCCAGAGTGCGGCCACATTGGAGCCTATTCTGAAGGCCCGGAATGATTTGTATCGGAAATGTCGCTCTGGTTCCCGGGCGGATTTGGTTGCCTACAGGGAGGCCCGTGGTGAGGCCCGTGTGGCTGTTCGTTCCGCAAAGGAGAGTTGGCTCAGTAAACAAGCTGACATCGTGGAGGCTGAGCGGTTTAATACCAAGAGTGCCTGGGCTGCCATTCGGGCGATTCAGCGATGCTTTGGGGGCATCACACCCATGAAGGTGCAATCCATCCAGGACACCGATGGCATTGTATGCACGTCGTTGGAGGCCATCTCGTCCAGGTGGTATGAACACTTTTCAAACGTCCTTAATATCAGGAGCCTCTATGACTTGGACGTTTTCGGTACGCTGGAGGTCAGGCCCATCGACGAGGAGCTCGCCATCCCTCCATCTCCTGAGGAAGTTGGTCGAGCTATACGTGCAATGGCTAATGGCAAGGCAGCTGGCGCATCGGGGATCCTGCCCGAACTTGTGAAGTATGGCTCCAGTGAGCTGCATGAATGTTTGCTGGCCTTGCTTTTGACTGTCTGGTCCACAGGTGGTGTTCCTCAGGAGTGGCGGAATGCCCAGCTGGTGCCAATCCCAAAGCGTGGAGATCTATCGCTCTGTGACAATTGGCGTGGGATCTCTCTTTTGGAGGTGGTGGGCAAGATGGCTGGTCGCTTGATACAGAACCGCCTTCAATCCAGGGCCGAGCATCTCCTCCCGGAGTCTCAGTGCGGATTTCGACCCAACCGTGGCTGTGCTGATGCTGTGTTTACTGTCCGGCAACTGGTGGAAAAGGCATACGAGCATCGTACAAAAATATTTTGTATCTTCGTGGACTTGAGAAAGGCATATGATTCTGTGCCTAGGGCTGCACTGTATCGTGCTCTTTCTGTCCTTGGTATTCCTCCGACTCTCCTCAAGGTCATTGAGTCATTTCATGATGGCATGGTGGCGGAGGTGCGTGTGCCTGGAGGTGTCACGGATGAAATTCGTGTGGAGAACGGCCTGAGGCAGGGTGTGTAATGGCCCCAATCCTCTTTAACCTCTATCTGGCTCTGGTGGTGGAACGTTGGCGGTCTGTTCTCGCTGATCGTGACCCAGACATTGGCATCCAATTTCACTATCGCTTGGATGGCCAGTTATTCAACCCAGCACGACGAACCCGTACCTATCAGCAGACCGCTGTTGTTGATGTTGAGTATGCGGACGATGCAAACTTTGTAGTTGGTTCGCGGGAGCATGCTGTGTTGGCCTTGACGGCGTTCCAGGATGTTTCTGCTGAATTTGGCCTCACTGTGAGTATACCCAAGACCAAGTTTA